CCAACCATAAATCTGGAATCTGGATAAAGTTTGTTGATTTTTGGTTACTGGTCACTCTGGCTAAGGATGGGTTGGTCTAATGAGAGGCACCAATGAATGCATTCCTTTGGTATCTCAGTTTTTAGCATGGACTAATAACAGGTATCCTTAGGTCGAGGAAATGTTTTACCGTATCTTATTGCAGCATCTGTCCAAAGGTTGCTCAATGCTCACCGAAAAGACAATTGCTGTTATACATAAAAATATATACGTTATATTGTATATTTTACACTAAACTTGAGAAGATGAAGCTCTGTGTACTGTACATATTCTATGATTGTTTGCTGTGAATGGTCTTCATGGCTGAATAACAACATTAGTGAATGGTTTTACATATTTAGATGTAGATGTTCTGTTTCTCTGCTCTTTTCAGACCTGTGTGTGACCCTTTTCATAATGGGACTTTCTATAAGGATTTTGGATGTCATGGATGTTTCTCCTCCTGCTGATGAAGGAAGAGGGCAGCTCTTTTTTTATTTTTTTATTTTGGGACCAGTAGAGATTATAGGGTAAATAACTATATGAGCTAAACTATATGAGGTCCTTCACATGGGTCCACTGCGCTTACTGGAAGCAAGTCTGATTTCCTAACAGTACAAAGTAGTTAAACCAAACATGGATTTGCAGAGATGAGACAACCAAGCAAAAAGATACTGTGAGCAAAGAGCTTTCTCCCCATTATAGTGAACAAAGCTATAACAAAGACTGAGAGCCATTCAGTACAAAACTGATGACATTCAGGCTGCTTCCAGTGCAACACAAACTAAAGCATGAAGTACATCTTATGTGTATCCAGTTTGAACATTTGCATCATGGGAAGGTAGTGACTGATACACATCAAAGATATTTTAGGCTCTTAGATTTTACATACAACACACCATAGTGTAACTTTATAGAGGCTTTCCTGCATGAGTGGTTTAATGTCTGCTGTTTGACATGTGAACTCAGAACCCTTACATCCGAGTTTTTAGTAACTCAGTGGAAAGTGGACATTATTATTTTCCAGATCCTCCTAATCTGGAACACAAAGTAGACCATGTTT